CTGCAGGAACGCCTGAGGACAATTGTCAATGCAGAGGACTGTCTGAGGACGTGGATGGGTTCAAAGTCAAAGGACCAGCACCGTGGCAGACAAACGAGGTCCCCATGGCTCTGAAGAGGTAATGCATGCCCTGTCGCGGGCCACCTGGAGTACAAGGTCGACATAGCCAAATCGAGTAATCGCCTTCCTACACCAGGCAATTCTGCCATACAAGCGTCTCGACACCGCTGCCTCGCACAACCTCCGCCGACGTCCCCCTTCCTCCCCACTCCACGTCAACGTTGACACCTACATGTATCACTGTCAGAGATTCCACCCCCATGACGCCATCGATCGTCCCCTCGTCGGGATCCGCGTCGGCGAACCACGACGCCTCCTCGCTTCCGTCGCGCGATCTGTCACCCCTCCGTCAGCGTCTTCGATAACTTGGACCCTTATTGCTTGTCCGCGGGCCAGAGTGTATGCAAGAACCAACGCATCAATAGTTTTGTTTGTGTGCCAGCAAGCACGGAATACACTCCCCTCCATCCCTCCCCCTCCTCTTCCCTCCCTCCGCCCCCGCATACACCCACCGTGACTACGTATTACACTGTACAAGAATAACTAGCGAGATAGCAATAGCAAGGAGCCGTACTTTTCGATGAACGAACGAAAGATGCATGGATACAATTGAGCTTGGGAGTGCTGTAATGAGAGTACTAGTACCGATGCAAGCACTGCGACAAGACGAAACGAGTGGGGGTACGTAGATTCGAGGTTCAGTGCGCGTTGAGGTGAGGAGGGAGGAGGTCACTTCGCCATAGGAATCTGCACGCGCAGCCCCTCGAATTTATACGGCAACACATGGTCGCTCGCCGACTACAACCGACCCTCATCAGCACACCACCCCACAACCAACCCAAAACCCAAAAGCACTCACCTCCACATCCAACTTACTCACCGAATCACTCGTCACAGGGGACGCCTCCACCCCCCCGCCCCGCCCCTCCTTCACAGTCTCCGTGCACGTATCGATGCGCACCGCAATCGGCCTGCCCACCCCAACGCTGGCCTCGCGCCGGACGTTGACTTCGGTGAGCGGGAGCGAGAGGTTCTCGCTAAAGTCGGACGGCCCGCCCGCCGTTGAGCGGATGGATTTGCGCGCATTGAGCGTGGCGAGGAGGGAGTTGAGGTAGACTGCGTGTGCAGGGGAGAGGTTAGTGGGAAGGGAGAGCGGGGGAGCGGGAGGGCACGTACGTCGGCCAAGCGTAAAGTAGAAGCAGATGTAAATGAACGTGTTCGGGAGCGCCGCGATCTGCCAATCCAGTCGCTCTCAGTCCGTAGCTGGCAGCCATAGAATGGAATAGAATTCACGCACGAAAACGAGGGAAAGGACCGCACACGCGCTGAACCCAAACACATCAGCTCATCCCCAAGCACGGTCGATACCGATCCACGGGACACCCACCTCGTGAGCAAGCCCGTATTCACACAAAATATAATCTATTTCATCCCATCAACGCTCCTCCCTTATCACACCCCCCCATCCCACACGTCACTACTCACCAGTTTAGTGATCATCGTATCCGACCTGCCCCTTCGTCAACACACGCGCGGGAGAAGGGAAGTCGCGACGCACTGCCTGAACCCCGTCCGACTCCGGTGGAGCATCGTGCAGAGCACGATCGCGATCGCGACGTCGCCCGCGGCGGCGAGGCCGTTGACCGACATCGACAGGCCCTGTGCATGGACGAGGGTCGCATTCATTGAGATGAGGATGGAAAGAGGGAGGAGAGGGAGGAGGCGCACCTTGAGCAACTCGAGCTCGGCGAACGTCTCGAGCGTGAGCGACTTGATGGTGTACGCTGACGGTCGCGCGCGCGATTAGCAACCAAGCGGGTGGGGAGGCGGGCGTTACGTACCGATCACCGCGCCTATACGCGGAGCCGGATCAGGTTAAAGGACGGCGGGGAGGGGCAAGGGGACGTACCGAACTCCGCGAGGACGAGCAGCAGCTGTAAGTACGATGTAAGAGACAGGGACAGGGAGTGGGGACGGGCGTGGGACGTACCACGGACACCGTGATCGGGACGTTCCGCTCGCTCACTGCCCAAGCGCGACGTCAGCACTTCCGGGTGCGCGGGTAGGTAGAACGAGTACTACGCACGTTTCCAGATCCGGATGGTGAAGAAGCTAGAATGTAACACGCGGGTTCGGTCGAGTGCGCGAGGGGAGTATGCGAAGGGGACTTACACCTGCACCATCAGCGCCGTGAAGCCCTATATACGCGTGGGTCAGTGGAAGCGTGCAGAGGATGTAGAAGTGGGGATCGGAACGTACGTTGAAGAGGACTTCCACCTGGCGTGAGATGAGTCAGTTCAATGGATGTACAGTATGATCGAGCTTGTATTCTAACCAGTAGACTCCTACGTACGTGCTGCCGTCAGCGTGATTCTGGAGTGTAAGGTGGGTAGGTAGTTATCTCACCACACTAGCCGCTGGAGGATCGCAGGGTTGGCGAAGTTCGTTACGACATAGGTGTACACTGCGTGCAAGTCCAATCAGCTCAGCTGTGATTTCAACGCAGGTAGGAAAGCGTACGCACTCGTATGGGATATCAGGGCCTGGTGGATGGTGTCGGAGATGAAGGACGCGGCTACCTAGAAGAGGAGATCAAGGTAAGAAGGGTACGCGGAGGACGGGAGGGTACGCACGAGAAGCTTGATATGCCAGAGGTCGTTCCGGTAGTGGTTGTAGTAGAACCATGTCTGTACGCACGATACTACACGTACAAAGATGGACATTTAGTGAATGCTCGTGCAAAGACATGGAGCAGACGCACCTCCGTAAAGACTAACACATCCGGTGTGCATTCACGCCATAAGCAATATATATATTTCAGCGACTCCGGAACGCTCACGTCGCCGCGACAATGACACCAACAAACATCGCCCCCATCCTGGGACAAACAAGCAATCAGCACCATCCCATCAAACGCGTAAATCCCTCCACCCCGACTCGGACACAAAACGCACGTGTTGTCGAGCACAAAGTGCGGCGCGACGGCCTGAATCGCCACCATCGCCATGGGCATGATGTCTTTCCACTGGGATGCCGGGAGTAAGTACGAAATGAACGGACGAAGGGGGTCGCGGCTCCCGATCGCGCAGGCGTAGTATTTAACTGCACGACGCGCTGCTCCCAGTGTTCCAGGCAGAAACGCCATGCCACATTCCCGCACGCGGCGGAGGGCATGCCACCTTCCCCCAGGCGCAGGGCACTTCTTGCGCTGATCCGCAGACGGGCGAGTTTAAGTGACCTGGGGAAAGCTAGGGATCCGGGGTGGGCGTGAGCGTGCCCGGATTTGGGACGGCGGGGACGCACTGTCGGTGTGCCGTAAGCAGCCACAGCAGAGACAGCGTCCAATACGCTTTTGCCTTCTTCTTTCCGAGCAGGACGAGCGGCCACGTGTATCTAGGGACTGGCCTCTCCGGAGGTTTGGGGCCAGCATGGATTGACCGGAAAGCATCAGAAAGAACAGTGCACGAGGCTGGAGTATTCCATACGAAACCACCAAAGACGCCTGCATATGCGCAGGTATCGTCGCTGGTCTTGTGCTCAAGAGGGAACAAGGAACGCGCCAGGAATGTTTAGATTGTATACGAGGCGGCGATCCAAAGCTCCGTCGAGGGCGATCGCGGTACCTGATAGAAAGACGTAAGTGCTGCCAGAACGGCGGCGCGCAGGCCACACTTCTCGTGCGGTTAGTAGACGGGAAGAAGGGCTACCTTCATGGCAGCGAGACGACAGCCTGAGGTTGAGCGCGGGGAATGCTACCGAAAACGAAGAATACCATCGAAGCTGATATAAGGCCCTTAACCACCGGATAGTGAGGCTGACATTAGCCTGGAGTACCGAGGACGAATCGAGGACGGTGGCCATGGTGCACGGCTGCAATGGTTATACTTGATCATACATTGACGACGCAGATGCGGATCCGAAGCAGCCCATGCGAAACCAAGGCTCACAGGATGATGGGGAACCGGATGAAAGTAGGATTCAAGCAGCAAAGTGGACCATACACATTATCAGTGCTGCGCTTCGCCCCCCTCCGGGCCTCTCTGTATCAGCCCCACGCCGGCGATCGCGCCCTCCGCGAGGATGTCCGCGACCTTGCGCCCCTCGTGCGCCTGCTTCTCCGCCTTGCGCACAAACTCGGCCTTTACGGCTTTCGCCCGCGCGATCTACAACGCACCCGTCATCCATAACATGAACAAGAGAAGTGGAGGGAAAGAATGCGCACCTCTTCGGTGTGGTGCAAACACTCGAGGTAATCATCCGCCTTGGGCTTGCATTCTTTGGGGTTATCCGTCCCGGCGTAGCACTGGTGCCATCGAGTGAATTGTCAGCCGTGTGCCTCACGAGAGATAAGTAACGGGGCGATGCACTTTCGAGAATTCCTGCCAGTAGGCAAAGCAGCGTGGCCGGCCTAAGCACAGTTCACGTCAATCCCCGACTGCCTCTCCAGTAAACACAACGCTTACCTCCGTGGAAACTGAAGGTAGACTGTAACAAAGACCGTAGTTTCAGCCTGTATACATCATTGTTAGAGAGAGCGACTCACGGCCATGGCGGGTTGTGGTGGTCGAAAGCGGATGAACAGCGGGCTCTACCGCGATCGTCTCACGGCACTCGAGGCGGTGTCGACGCGCCCCTCACGCTTCCCCCGTCCTTCGAATTCCACCCAATCTGATCGCGCACTTGGAAACGTCCAGCAAGCGAGAACCTAGTCCCTGGCAGGATAGTTATATAAACTCGCACTCGAGACATGGCGGACCAGGCGGAGCTCGCGTTCGTCAAGAACTTTGCGCACATCCTCGCGTCCGCGCCTGTGCAGTACCCCGACGACTTCCAGCAGCCGCTGCAGAACTGGCTGAAGAAGGTCCCGACTCTCCCTGTGAGTGCTTTTCCTGATAATATGTGTGTTGGATGGGCGAGTGACAAGCCACGCCACGCAGGTTGACCTCCCCAAGCCCCCACAAAGGACCCAGCCGCAGGCGTCCACGTCATGTACGCACCCCCCTCTCCGCCTACGCTGCGTGCTAACACCCCCTCCCAGCGTCTATCACCGTCACCTTCAAATCCATCAAGCCGCCGAAATCGTACACCCTCTCCGTCGCGCCGACGGACCCGATCGCGTCGATCAAAGCCCAGCTCGCCGCGCAGCCAGGCGCACCGCCCGCCGACGCGCAGCGCCTCCTGCTCAAGGGCAAGGCCCTCGCGGACAGCAAGCTCCTGCGCGAGTACGCCGTCTCGGACGGGGACACCGTCAACCTCCTCCTCAAGCCCGGGTTTGCCTGGGACCCGTCTGCCACTCCACCTAAACCCGCAAACGAAACCGAAACCGAGATGAACGTGAACACGAAGCGCGCGGGTGCGCATTCGCGCGTGCCGAGCGTCGTGCTGAGCCCGAGCCCGAGCGGCTCCTTCCCGGACGAGAAGCCCGTCGACATCCTGCTCACGCTCGACACGAGCACGATCCCGACGCCGAGCCTCTCCCCCGAGGCGTCCAGCAGCACGTACCACGACACGATCGTCAAGCCCGAGTTCTGGGAGCACCTCCTCACGTTCCTCAGGTGCGCTCGGATCTGATTGAGCCGTTTGCTCTTGGGTGGGTGGCTGACGAATGTGGGTGGTAGGTCGGAGTTCCAGAACTACGAGGACGCGACGCAGGCTTGGGAGGACTTCTTGAGGGTTAGCAAGGGCACGCTCACGCCCGGCCAGATTGCGAAGATTCGGGACCATGTGGGCGTGGTGGGCATGGCGGGCACATAACGAGTGCATGATTGAACTGGATGAGCTCTTTTTACTGTCATTTTCTCAAGGATACGGTTTTTCCCCCTCCATACCTCTACTGGAATACGTACGAGCAATAATCATACCATAAGGTCTTACTCGTGTTGCGCTATGGCGGATATTCAATCTGATTGGACCGGCAATTCGCGGGAGGAGCACTCAGAATGTCTTAAATTAGCCTGCCTTTCCTCTGAGATTCATACTATCACCGCGCTTCCAGCATGACTCTGAGTCCACCATGGCCCGCATCCTAACCTACCTCCTCATTCCTCTCCTAGCAATCCTCCTCACTGCGCATGTCGAATTCAACTTCAATAACCTCCTCTCCACCGCCGACACCGCGCGTGTGCTGCTGCTCACCGCGCACCCAGACGACGAGTGCATGTTCTTCGGGCCCACTCTGACCGCGCTGAAGCGCAGATCCGAGCAAGAGGGAGAGGCGGTGGAAGTGCACTCGCTATGCCTTAGTGTTGGAGATGCGGATGGGTTGGGCGAGGTGCGCCGCTGGGAACTGGTGAGGAGCCTGGATGTGCTTGGTGTGGATGCTGGGAGGCGGAGGGTCTTGGATAGGGAGTGAGTCATTGGATACATCGTAGGTACAGCCATTGAATAAACGATCCCGTTATTCTCGCCGTTCGTCTGTGTTAGAGACATGAAAGACGACATAACAGCCACTTGGGACCCGCACACGATAGCCGACATCGTCACGTCCTACGCCTCAGCACACAACATCACCACCGTCAGTCCCCTCGCACGCCCGAACCCCGCCGCGCTGATCCATAACCCATGACCTCACGCAGATCCTGACCTTCGACGAGCGCGGCGTGTCCTCCCACCCGAACCACATCTCGCTCTTCCGCGGAACCGCCCTCGCGCTGGCCCTCGCCCCGCAGCCCCTGAGGGCCTACGCCTTAGTGAGTTCGCCGCTCCTCACGAAGTACCTGGGCGTGGCCAGCGCGTTCGTGGCGAAAGTGCGGGTGCCGCTGCAGGCGCGCTCGGATAATGGCGTGGACCGCGCGATGGTTGTGTCGAGCGCTGCGGAGTACGCCGTGACGCTAAGAGGGATGCTGCAGCATTGGTCGCAGATGGTGTGGTTCCGGTGGCTGTATGTGGGGTTCTCGAGGTATATGTGGGTGAATGAGTGGGTGGAGATCAAGAGTGCGGCGAGTCTCGAGACGGGGAAGGTTGCAGAGCTATGAGTTTATGGTGAATACGCCTTCCACCTTATTTTTCGCCAACGCTCCGCCACTGCCCGCGAAAGCAAAGCTGAAGAGAAAATAGTATTACATCGGTGCGTTGGTAGGATACAGCTGGAACCACGTACATACGCAATATGCCAGGACCTGGTAACCTCAGCTCACCGGCCGTTCCCCGCAAACGACGTAGACACGCCCCCCAATGTAGCCTTTAACCAGTTCCTCAACCACCCAGAGGCCTTCCCTTCCTGAACGTTCCTAACGGTCGGACGTCCGCGAAGACTGGCGATAATTGGTCGGATGAACAGGGACGCATACCCCCTGGTGCCGGATCAAAGGTATCTTAGTAAACAGCACGGACCTTCAAGGCAAGAGGACATACCACAAGGCACCCTGCAGGAATGGGCTGATAACCTGGTCTCTGAGCGTGACCCACAGCACCTTCCCCCACTCGACCTGCACCTCCACGTCCCTCAGTAGCGGACCAGCTATCATTCCCTCTTTCTCGTCGCGGTGTTCGAGCTCACCCGCCTCCCCTTCGGACACTTGCACATACCGCTTGATGCTCTTCAAATAGCTGGTCTCGAAGCGGAGGTCGGGGAGGACTTGGGTGGGTTTCCAGTGGTGAAGGTCACGCTCATGGCTGTCGTGCTGTTCGCGGCCGTGCTGAAGATGGGGGAAGTGCGGGTAGTGGTGTTGGTGGTGAGCAGCCATCGTAGCTCCAGCTGAAGTGCACGGTACTGCCGGCAGCGGCAGCAGGTCGGGGAATCGGGGCTAGTGTTCCGTGAAAATGGGAACGGTAATTAACCCTGTTAATTAACACTGCCTAATTCACCGGTAATTTACCTGTCAGCCACACCTCACAGGAAAATGTCAGGTGAAATAGGGTAAATTAGGAATAATTCATCCCAAATGCCTCCTACATGCTCCCCTTGCTTCGTAGATGACCCTTGACCTGCAGGGATAGCTCAACAGCCATATTAATGTATTTGTAGTGTCCTTATTATCAGTACTCATGAAATGTACTAGTGAATGCCTGAGGACTGCCGGCAAATAACAAACCGGTAACTAAAGCCCAAACATCATCGCCGTCACTCTCCTTTTCTCGCTCTGTGTCTTGTATAACAGAGAGACATGGCTGACAATCATCTCCATTCATTGTCAGGATATCTGGCATGCCTACCGCAGACACTGCCTTACCACGAGATGCAGACGATGGCGAGGATCAACTCTGAGTTATATGGGACGTCAATCACAAGTCAAATAGGCCTAATTTACTCAGTAAATTAACGGAAATTTGGTTGTTTTTGAATCGGTTAATTAACAGGTAAAATACAGAGGTAAATTAGCCCTTTCCTGTGGCACTCGGTTAATTAACACGGGAGATTAGGTCTGGGACCTTTTTCACTGAACACTAATCGGGGCACGTGCCCGCGCCAATTGTGGCGTTTTCGCGAGTGTCACTGTCTCAGTGTCTGCAAGTGACTTCCACCATCCCTGCGGAAAACAGGCTGTGTGCGCACTAACTCTGGGCTATATGCATGCTAGAGCGTCAGCTACAAGGTCTACAACTTTCTACAACTTTCCCTTTGTCGTTAGCCTGTAGTCAAGCAATGATAAAACTACAGTCGTTTGCATATGAAACCGAAAATCGGGTTTCCGTGAGCATTGTTTGTTCGAGCCAAATATACCCATATGCAGTAATGCGAGATGGCTTCTTGTGACTGCGTGACTGTCAGATAGCATTCATCGACGTCTCGAACTTGAAGTATCGACTGGCTGGTACCATGGTTCACCTCACTCGACAACTACGTGAACGTATCATTGTCTGGCGCCATGAGCAAAACAAGACACTCCGAGTGATTTCTGAGCTTGCGGGATGCAGCATAAGCACAGTCTTCGAAGTTCTCCGACTCTACACGGAATACGGCACAGTCATCAACCCGAATGCTAGACCTCGAGGCCGGCCGCGCACTCTGGACATGCAGGATATGAACTTCGTGCGATCAGTTATTGAGGGAGAGCCTGCTATCTACCTTGATGAGCTACGAGATCGAGTCTACAACAGACTACACAGCACATGCAGTTTGTCAGCCTGAGGGCGGGCTGCAGTCTAC